GCTAGCCTTAGAAAAAATATGGTGCTTCAGCTTATAAATGCGAATTTTAACATGGATATACTGCTCTGTTCCTCAAGCTGAATGCGATTATTCTACCAACATTACAAGGGTTATATATTATAAGAGTGAGTTACACTTTTTAATCATAACCCCAATATGTTTTTTTTTTCTTATTGAGGAGTAGAGGGCTTGGTACGTTAGAGGATAAATGTATTCATGGCTAATTTCTGGCAGTTTTTGATTGATCTCACTCTCGTTTTATTCACTGTCGAAGATTTTGTAAGTTTGAAAGAAGCAAGTTTAGTTAAATTAGGAGATTTTGTCAAATGTCAAATAATCGCAATTTTCCTTAGCTTTTGCTCTTGCTCCCAAGAAATTTTCGAGCTTTGATAAATCACTTATTTACACAAATGTGTTTTTTTCACGATTTTAAAGAATGATGAAGAAATTTTGCAACTTACTGACAATCACATTGGATGCGAAAAATTGACTTTTCTCACCTCTAGTAGTGAAAGTGGTTGTTGTTTACATAGTTCTTTTCAAGAGTCTATCATTCGCTACCAACCGTAAGAGTAGTGTGTGTGTATGTGTTTTTCCACAGCTTCGTTGCTTTGCCTCATTGAGTTTTGCGGTGGGTAACTCAAGCATGACTGCAATAAGAAAAAGAAACAGGCTTGTGAGTTTTGCGGTGGGTTGCCTAAGCACTTACCACTGAAGAGATGAAAAACAGTAAATTTTCATGTCAAGAAAAGCTTTTTTTTTCGACTTAAGCATAAAATCCACGATTGCCATATACATATTTGTACTTTGTTCATACCCTTTAGTAATTATTCCATCCCCTTTCACTTCCTTCCGGTACAACTTTTCCTCCGCGCAAGTCTCAGGATTGGTTACTTTCCTACATATGTATGACAAAGCAAGGGCATAACAGATGACTGATTTACTTTACCATAAAAAACGAAGTAGTTTCATCTCTACTCTTTTAGAGGACACTTTCTAAGGATGTTTTCAAGCCACTAGGGAAACCGCGAGCTTTAAATGTAGAGATCTTTTTTG